TCCCATTGAGTAAGGGTTAGGGGATGACTTCTCCCATTGAGTAAGGGTGAGGGATGACTTCTCTCATTGAGTAAGGGTGAGGGATGACTTCTCCCATTGAGTAAGGGTGAGGGATGACTCCCCTATTGAGTAAGGGTTAGGGGATGACTTCTCCCATTGAGTAAGGGTGAGGGATGACTTCCCCCATTGAGTAAGGGTGAGGGATGACTTCTCCCATTGAGTAAGGATGAGGGATGACTTCTCTCATTGAGTAAGGGTGAGGGATGACTTATCCATTGAGTAAGGGTGAGGGATGACTTCTCCCATTGAGTAAGGGTGAGGGATGACTTCTCTCACTGAGTAAGGATGAGGGATGACTTCTCTCATTGAGTAAGGGTGAAGGATGACTCCCCCATTGAGTAAGGGTGAGGGATGACTTTTTTCATGAGTAAGGGTGAGGAATGACTTCTCTCACTGAGTAAGGGTGAAGGAAGACTCCCCCATTGAGTAAGGGTGAAGGTTGACTCCCCCACTGAGTAAGGGTGAGGGATGACTTCCCCATTGGGTAAGGGTGAAGGATAATTTCTCCCATTGAGTAAGGGTGAGGGATGACTTCTTTCACTGAGTAAAGGTGAAGGATGACTCCCCTATTGAGTAAGGGTTAGGGGATGAGTTCTCCCATTGAGTAAGGGTAAGGGATAACTTTGCTTCTGGGTAAGACTGTGGGGTTGACTCTCCACCTGTTGGTTGAGTGAGGAGTCAATTTCTCATTTGTTGGTTAAGAGTAAGGGATCAATTCATTGTTTAAAATAAGGGGTTGAGTCCCCACCCATTGGGTATGAGTGAGGGGTTGATGCCCACCCCCAGTTGGGTAAGAGTGAGGGACCAGCTCCCTCCCTGTAGGCAGACAAGGATAGCTCCGAGCCCCGTCTGTCTGTCCTCTGGCCTGGATGCAGTTGGAGTTCGCAGATCAGGGAAGAACTCAGATTCTCCCATGTGGTGTTCTTAGCACTGCCTCATGGGACCCAGTCACTGATGACACCCACCACCCTCCTTTCATTGTGTCCGGGTTCTGGGTGTCCTTTCTTTCTGGTGGACCACCCTCTGTTCCCACCCTCATCTCTCCAGGGCCCATTTTCCTCTTACTGAGCCTTGAAGGTGATGAGAATGTCTCACTGTTCCTTTTAAGTCTTAGAGTCCAAGATAAGCTTAAGTGTGGGAAGAGAGACAGGGTCAGGGGCCTTCCACAGAATGTCAGACAGGCTTTGGGGTCCTTGGCAGCTGGCAGGGGGGAATTCTGGGTCGAGGATGCACCCCTCCAAGGGCGGCCTCCATCAGTCCCTGGACGTGACCTGTCTTTGGAGGGTGCAGCAGAGCAGCGTGGCCCTGCGCAGTCTAACTTGTCTTCAGGGAGGCTTCTCAAGGCGCAGGTGGGGCTCAGTGGGCTCTCAGGGCCCACAGCTCTCTCCTGGCATTTCACGGCTTTTGTTTTGACTTCAGGCTGAAGAGCATCATTGGCATGGGAACAGGGGCCGGCGCCTACATCCTGACGCGGTTTGCGGTGAGTTCATTAAAACGTTGCTGTCATTACCTTTCAAACAACAGCCTTGATTCAAGATTCAGGAGAAACTTGAGGAAGCATCAAAGTCCAAAGGGGAAAAAATTACCCAGAGTTCCATTTTCTCTAGCGTATTCTGGGCTGTGTTGTGTGGTCTGTGCTGTGTATGTGTGTGCTGTATGCCTGCCTACCCCTCACCTCTCTCTCTCTCTCTCCCCCCTGCCCTGGGTCCTCCGCTCTGACTGCTGCTTGGCTACCTATGGTTAACCCTCCTCGTGTTCCAGAACCTTCCATCACTACTGGCCATTCCTGGTCAGAGTTGCTTAGGTTATTCTAACCCAGGTCCTTTCAGACCCTAAAGGACGCTAAGCTGGGACCAGAGGCACATGTGTCGACATGACAACTGTCTCGTTTGACGTGGTGGTCCCAACTCCGGTGCTGCAGGGACTTTTGTAGGCATAATAACTAAGAGGAGACTGGCTCCGTGCTGCACTTGGGCTTTGTTAAAGGTTAGAAGTACTGATCCAATTATAAAAACAAACACAAAACAACCAAGGTCTTAAGTATATCCTGTAAATGCTTATGTGTGAACAGTTGAGTTGGTTTGGACTCAGAACAAAACATTGCCACCGGGGTGCTGCGCCATCCCCACTGTTGGGTTTGAACCCATTGTTGCAGCCACTGTGCTACTGTCGCCTGTAGGGTCTTCGTGTGTGTGTGTGTGTGTGTGTGTGTGTGTGTGTGTGTATCCTGTATCTATGTCTTTACATAGATATTTCCCTACAAGGTCACCCGGTGGCAGAGCTCGCCCTGCACTCCTAACCCTAAGGTGGGTGGTTTGAATCCACCCAGCAGTGTGTCATCAGAGAAGGTGTGGCAATCTGTTTTGGCCAAGATGCTGGTCAGAAGACTCCGTGGAAGAATTCTGCCCTAGAACACATGGGTCGCCATGTCTTGGACTCACCCCATCTCTCTGTCTTAGAAGCGGTAGGGCTCTGGCGGCCTGCCGACTGACTGCATGTAGATAGGATGGGTTGTATATCGTACCCATTTGGCAGGTGGAAAAGCCGAGGCCCAACCAGAGGAAGCAACTTGGCCAAAGCAAGGCTGCAAAATGCAGGCACCTTCTACTTATCCCATGACCTCCTCTTCCCACTCTCTCAGGGATTCAGCCCAGCCCAGTGCATGGGTGCGAGGGAAGCCTGGGCTTGGGGGGATTGGGCAATGACAGCCCTGCAGGGACCTTCTAGTGACTTTGGCTTGATTGTCAGGGCCCTCGCTCAGCTCACTTGGCGTCTTGCCTTGCAGCTGGACTACCCCGACATGGTGGAAGGACTGGTCCTCATTAACGTGAACCCTTGTGCTGAAGGCTGGATGGACTGGGCTGCCTCCAAGGTGAGCTTGGGGTGGGGCCGGGCCAGGGCCGGCAGCGCCCCTGCAGGGAGGAGCCGAAGAGCTAAGAGAGCTCTTTTTTTCTTTAAATCATTTTATTGGGGGCTCGTACAACTCATCACAATCCATAAATCCATGCATTGTATCAAGCACATTTGTACATCTGTTGCCATCGTCATTCTCAAAACATTTGCTTTTGGCATCAGCTCCTCATGTTTTCCCCTCCCTCCCCAAAGAGAGCTCTCTTAAGCCAGCCAGCCGCCATCCTCTGTCGCTGCTCTGCTTCAAATGGCAAGCATCCACCGAGGTTTGTGGCTCGGCCGAGTCAGGATGTCCGTGGGACACAGTTTCCGCAGCCTGCTTCCATCAGGGAGCTGAGTGCTGAATGTATGCCAAGCTTCGCCCCGGATGCCAGCAATAAAAGACTAAGGAAGACCTAAGTCACTAAGCCCAGGCATCTACAAAAGGGTGACGATGACATAAAGCAAACACACACCATGATGTAGTAGGGGTTGTGCCCTGGGCTGCGAGCCACAAGACCAGCAGTTCGAAACCACCCACGGCAGAGAGGGAGAAAGAGAAGGCTTTCTACTTCCACAAAGATGTCCAGTCTCAGAAGCCCACAGGTGCAGTGCTACCCTATCCAAAATGGTTGCTATGAACCAGAACGGACTCGATGGCTGTGAGTTTGGTTTAGTGTCTCGGTTACGTGGTCACTAGGAGTGGCGTTTGGAGTTTGTTTTAGATATGGCACTGACTAAAGGTTGCTGGTTCAAGTCCACTCAGAGGTACCTTCTCAAAGAGGCCTGGAGAGCTCCTGCCATAATAAAGCCAGGTATTGACGCCCCACAGCGCGTTTCCATTCTGACAGGCACGTGTCACAAGAGATTCAACATGACTGTGTGTGTGTTTCCTGTTCCCCATGTGCCCCACGTGCTGTGGGAATGGCATTCAGCCTACCCTCATTCTTTGCCAGGGGTGTCTAAGGAGCCCTGGGGGTGCTGTAGTGAAGCACATGGCTGCTCCCCCGACAGAGGTGGTGGTTGGAGCACACCCGCTGCTCTGAGGGAGAGAGATAGGCTGTCTGCTTCCATGGCCCTGGCAGCCCTGGGACGCCGTGGAGCTGATCAGCTGTGCTGTGGCGACACTGGATGGTGGCGTTGACGCCTTTTTCTTGGCTCTGCGTGGCTACACGTGCCTCGTCCTACTCCTGTTGAGTGCATGCCAACTCCCAGTGACCCTAGAGGACAGGGTCCAGGTCCCCATGGCTATGCGTCTTTTTGGAAGCAGACCCCTGTGTGTTGCCTCCACAGAGTGGTCCGTGGGCTCGAACTGCTTACCTTCCAGTTAGCAGCCCCACGCTAAACCACTGCACTGGGTTTTCACAAGGGTGCCCTCAGGTGGACTGGAAAGAGCAGTCTCCAGATGAGGAATCCGAGGTTCGGCCATCTTCCGAGTGGAGTCCCAGATGACACTGAGAACCGGGGTGTGGCCTGAGTGCTCCTGGACTCCAGGGCCCTTGAATGTCTCCCCTCCCCTTCTCCACCCCCAGCCAACTGCATACTCCTGCCCCATCTCAAAGCCCACAGGGGTCACTGAGGTGGACGGCACGCCCTTCCCTGAGGCTCCTGGTCAGAGATGGCCAGTGGGGACAGGCCCACTTTCTTGAGAAGCTCAGGGCCCTGGCCAGTGTCTCAGGATCCCTTGTGGGTCTTTAGAAGCCATGATTGCTTTTACAAACGCTTGAGTATTTGCCACTGAGAAGGGAGGCCATTCCACTGGGAAGAGAACAAAGCCTGTGAGTGGGGAGCTCCTGGCTTCTCATCCTGAGAGTGGTCTGTTTTTGCCAAGTGTGGGTGGCTGTCAGTAGGCAGGGCTGAGGAGAGGTCATGACCCCCACCCTCCTAGTCCTGTCCACTCTCACCTGGGATGTCCCTCGGAACTCGGGAGCCGAGCACACGCCCTGGGCTCGAGGGTTTGTTTTTCCAGCGAGGGCAGTGACCATCCCGCCACCCCGTGGCTGTTCTGAGCCGGAGAATACTGGCCCCATAGCCCTCCCACCTCCATCCCAGGGGCAAGAAAACCTCCTGAAAGTCCCACCTAGTGCAGGATCCTGCCTGGGGTCAGCTCCAGGGACCATGTCATCCTCACTGTGGCTCTGTGTCTGAGGTTCCCTCACCTCCCCGGAGAGGTCAGGAGTCTGAGGTCCAGCGTTTCTGCAGATGGCCCAGAGCTTGTCTCTCTTGCCGGCACCTGTTCAGTGCTGCCATTATCAGCACATGCTTGTGGAGCGCCTGCTGTATACACGGCACTCGGGACGTTCTTGCTGTATACATACCATTCATAGAGTTCCTGCTGTATGCGTGGCCTTCATGGAGTCTGCTGTATACACACACAGTGCTCTTGGAGCCCCTGCTGTATACCTGGCATTGTTCTTAGGAAGGGAGGCGAGCAAAGTCTTCAGTTACCCCAGCGTCTCAGAGGAAACTGCCTTTCAGAACAATCCGAAGGAGGGCAAGGGGATCCCTGGGGGTTAGGCAGGTACTGGGGTACAGCCTGGGGAGCTCGATGTGTGTTTATTTAGAAGAGGGGGCACAGTCCTGAGATGTGGGCCCTCCTGGCTGAGCCCTGAGTGAGTTTCCCAAGTAGGGAGAGCTGGGAACACTTTGGGTCTCTGTCCAAAATGTCCATCCTGGGCCTGGGACCCCGAATGTAGTCAGTGGGCCCTGGGGCCAGGGCAGGGGTTCCTGTGACTACTGGCTTCTAACGGCCTGCTCTCCCCCTAGATCTCAGGGTGGACCCAGGCACTGCCTGACATGGTGCTGTCCCACCTCTTTGGGAAGGTGAGTACAAGACCGGCGTGCTGGCAAGCTCTGCGTTTTTTACAATGTGCTCAGGGGACATTGTGACCTCATGTTTCTAAAGCCAGGATACAGAACAAAGCCATGGCCCACCCCTTGCTGACCCACCCCCACCCCAGCAGCCCACTGGGCAGCAACCGTGCTTCCAGCTGGCTCCACCAGTGAGCTGCCCCCAGGCCTGGCCATCAGCTGGCTCATGGAGTACTTATCCACCCCGAGTGTCTACTCTGACCCCGATAGGAGTTTGCCAAGACCAGCACCAAGGCCTGCAAGTTCTCAGAGGAGGGGTGTCAAATGCAGCATGAGAATCTAACCTGATTGTATCCCCAAGTCCCTGGTGGCCACCTGATTGTGCCCCAGAGCCCCTGCGGCCACCCTGCATTGCAGCGAGTGTCCTTGGGTATGGGACCCCAGCACGGCCCTACGGTCCTTCCGGTCAGCTTAATCTCGGCACAGCAGCGGCCGCCGGGTTGGCAGCAGGCGGTCTTGACAACAGCGTGGGCCGGCCACGGCCTTCCTGTGGCTCCTCTGGCTCCCCTGAGCACCGGCCAGCCCGGGAGCCGAGGCGCCCGCGATGTGCGAATGAGGAACAGAGCCAGCCTGGCCTCATCTCTCAGTCCCAAACCACATTGCAAAGGAAGGGGAGCAGGCTGGCTCTGCGGCCGGGGGCCCATGGGCCTTCTTTCCAGCCACGCCTGATGGCATGGGTTGGTTTTGTTTCTCAAGCCCGAAGCACTCCTTTGCGACTCTGCCCATCCTGTCCTGTCACAGAGGCTTTTGTCTGTGAAGCCTCAGTGACCTGCCCTCCTGCTCCTCCCCCCCGCTCCCTAACATCCAGTTCAATTCTTCTCCGTGGGACTTATATGCGTCACGCAGGACAGTGACCATTTCAGTGTTGGCTTCGGACCCACATTGGCACGTCTGTCCTGTTGAGTGGCCACAGGACTGCCCAGCTCCATCGTCTTCACTTCCACCAAGAGCTCTGTGCCCCCAGCAGTGATGCCCTCCTTCGAGCCCCCTCTCCGCTGGGCCTCCCCAAGGGACACCTCTGAAAAAGCTGGGGTGCCTTCCCAGGAGCACAGGTGCTGGGTCACCTGGGAACATCTTTGCCAAACCTCCAGACCAGACCATCGGTCCCTGGAGCCAACGTACCATCTCACCAGAAATGGACAAGGATTCCGATTCTGCCACCCCTAACCGACACACTTGTTGGTTACGGTTTTTAACAATTGTGGCCATCTCAGTGTGTCCGCTCCCCCAGAGCCTTCTTAAGGGTCTTGAGATTCACAGTATAAGGGGCTCTGGTGACATTGTGGCCAAGTATCGGGCTGCGGACTTGGAGCAGTTCAAAACTGCCAGCTCCCCTGCAGGAGAAAGATGAGCCTTCTTACTCCTGGAAAGGACTTCGGTCTGGGAACCCCACAGGGGCAGTTCTCTGGGGTCACTGTAAGTCAGAATAGGCTCAATGGCAGTGACTTTTCTGGAAGGTTCACTGTGGTTCAAGGACCTGCCCAGGAAGGATCAGTGGAAGGTGGAGCTCTCCTGACCGCTAGGTCCTGGTGGGTAGATTTCAACCCTCGCTCCCTGAGTGGTGAGCTCTGCCAGGTGGGTGCACTCCCGGCTGCCAGTGGCTGTGCCCATGCCTGCAGGGCTTCTCTGGAGCTCTGGTCCTGACTTTGTGTCCGGCTGCGGACTAGGCATTCTTGGTTTAACCTTGCACCGGACAGACTTAGAGCAGGGAGAGGCTGGGTGGCCCGGTGGCCACTCTCATGAACCATGTTCCTGTCTCCCTGCAGGAAGAAATGCAGAACAACGCAGAGGTGGTCCACACCTACCGCCATCACGTGGTGAACGACATGAACCCCACCAACCTGCACCTGTTCATCAATGCCTACAACAGGTACCTACTGCGATGTGGCGCTCAGCCACACGGGCACTGGGTCTGGGTTCCCTGGGGCATGGAAGGGGGTGGGGAGGAGGATGATACAATTAATGCGATGAGCACACACGTGAACAGGAGGGGTGCCTCCTGAGCCGTCGGATGCCCCCTGGGGTTCCAAGCATGTGCCAAGGAGCCGAGCTCATCATCTGGGCAGTGGACACTGGAGCATGAGTCAGGGATGGTCGCACGCTCGAGTGCATAGCTGTGTGTGTGTGTGTGTGTGTGTGTGTGTGTGTGTGTGTGTCCG